GAATAAACTTTGATTTCCGCTCGCATATGTTCCCACTCAGTGTTTATTTGCCAGTCCTTATAAAACGAGTGCAGGAACTTGCATGATTTACACTGCGAAGAGTTACGAGCATGGTTTGATGGGGCTATTGCTCCCATTTCAGGCGTTGAATGTGAATTATTGAATACTGTCAAACACTGCTATGGTAATGATGCTGTAATGAACCTCAGACCTGGCTATACAGTGGCAAGGGATCAACCTGTTGCCATAGCAACTGCTTTGGATTGCAAGGAGTAAGAATATAGACAGGGTCTGATTATTTGTAGTACTTGATAGATCTATAGGTTTGCAATGTTCAGCATTTAAATATAAATAAACTATATATATATATATATATATATATAGTTGTCTAAAAAATATTGTATTTTAAACATTTTATGTCATATAAAAAAAGTATTACTTAGATGTGTGTTCTTATAATTATAAATAATAAATGTTTATATTCCTGTCATTTTGCATAACAGTATTAGCATTTACACAATACTGCTGGCCCCTTTGATCCTGTTATGAGATTCTATGCACTGTTGAAACCACTGCATGACTCCTGGTTGGCTGAGAGTAATCACATGTTCTGAATCCACCACAAATTGCATTACCTTACAATGCAGCCTTATATTCATCATTCAAGGGTGTTAGGCCATGAAATGGCATTAAGAAATGAATGCAGCTCGCACACTTTGTTAATACAGGGCACTGCATCTTATTTACAATACAAATTCTCACAGGATAACCTCGCTGGCAACTGTACCAATGCAACTCTCTGTTATGAAAGAAACCACATTTCAGTCCAAGATACTAAACTAAACCATTCAATGATGGTTAGCCAGATTAATGGCTAATGTTCACCTGCCAACTACTGGTTCAAAAGACACAGCACATTTTTAGAGAAAACATGAACTCCTTTTGTTTTTTATAACAATACTAGCTAAGACTTTGCAAGTATTTTCTAATAAATATTATTCTGAATAAGTATATGCATCCAAATTAATGTATTAAATTCATATTTTTTTATTAGCATCCTTTATTATTGGATAAAATCTTCAGATTCACTGATATGCTTAATGTAACCATCACATACGCAGTTTAAGATTAAAAGTTTGAGGAGCCAGTCTGACATTTAATTAATTAATCTATTAAACAATTAAACTAAATTAAACTTTCCAGATGAATTTCGCATTAATGCATTCGGCCAAGTTGTTATTGGTTACTAAAACTTGATATAAAACTAGACAGACAGACAGACAGACAGACAGTGTGCGCAAATATGTCTTTTGACATATGACAGACAGATAGACAGATAGATACAGTAGACAGACAGACAGATAGATAGATAGATAGATAGATAGATAGATAGATAGATAGATGTGTGTATGTATATGCATATTTTTATGAAAACTTAAAGCTTAAATTAAACATTTAAACATTGTTTTCACATAACAAAAAGATTAAAACTCGCACTAAAATTAAAATGAAATAAAAATAAAACCCAATTCTGAATTTTAATAATATATATTAACTATAATAATATATAAAATGACTAAAATAACACTGGCATTTGGATATTGTTTTCAGATGTTAAACCACACAAAAGACAGGCCTAACCCTAACAACATAAACAAAAGCACTATCCCGGAGGGACCTCTAATAATAAAGCAATCGCTGCTCCCACTCTGTCGCCCCCACACCTCCCCCCATGTCCCTCAATCACCCCACCCAACCCCAACACCCATCTGTCAGTCTGACAGCCCCAGTGCCACTCCCGCCTCACCCCACCCCCAACCTCCAATTAATCCCTGGGACTGTGGGGTCACTGCGAACCAGTGGTCACCCTGATATCCAGACACGTTCAGAGGTGAAATGTTCTCACAGGCCTCTCAAAGATCGTGCAACAAAAGGCTGTAGTCGCTAATGCTAATCCGCACCACAGAAGGGAGAGAGAAAGGGAGAGTAAAGGGATAAGAGATTGCGAAAGTGGGAGTCAGAGAGACAGGCAGATGGAGAGGAAAACAGATGCAAGTGTTGGTTAACATGTAGTGAAATTATTTTTATGAAAATACTTTTATACTCCCCATTCATAACCAGCTCAATCGGGCCTCTTCGGCCTTTGTTTTAATAGAATTTGAATAATTCGTCAATTTAAAGTGATTAGCATTTCATTACCCCAAATGCCGTTTTTTCTATCCAGATAAAAATAATTCAAATTCAGTTGAACTCAGTCACATCAAGTGGCTACATGAGGGGCGCTGTGTCTCGATCGCCGGCCCCTCCCTGAAAGCACGCGGGTTTCATCACCGCACGTCTACGCCGCGAATCTGCGCATGTTTAATCAACCAGCAGGGTTGCCATGGCGATGGAGGTGCGGGCCCTAAGAATGGGCCGGGCCTGTGCGCGCACCATGACCCACTTACAGTGCCGTGTGTCAACACATTCAGAGGCAAACGGGCTGAATGGGAGACACATTTACAAGGATTACGGGGGGGAAACACAGTCCAGCATCCAACACAGCAGGAACGGCCAAGACTACATGACTTCATCCAAACCCGCTGCTGCTGCTGGGGCCGCTAGAAGATTCTCACACTTTCCTCCATACCTTCTCTCAGCAGAAAGGAACCCATTTAGTCTCCATGCACTCTTAAAAATAAAAGTTCGTTATGGTGCCATGAAGAACCTTGAACATCCATGCACCCTTTCAAATGTAGAAAAGGTTCTTTATACTCGAAAAAGGTGCTTTAGATTTTTAAAATGTGACCCTGGACCACAAAACCATAATTTTTTATGATAAGGGTCAAATTTTTTTTTTAATTGAGATTTATACATCAGCTGAAAACTATAAGCTAAATAAATAAGCTTTCCATTGATGTATGGTTTGTTAGGATAGGACAATATTTGGCCGAGATACAACTATTTGAAAATCTGGAATTTGAGGATGCAAAAAAATCAAAATATTGAGAAAATTGCATTTAAAGCTGTCCAAATGAAGTCCTTATCAATGCATATTACTAATCAAAAATTACGTTTTCATATATTTACAGTAGGAAATTTACAAAACATCTTCATGGAACATGATCTTTACTTAATATCCTAATGATTTTTGGCATCAAAGGAAAATCGATAATTTTGACCCATACAATGTATTGCTGGCTATTTCTACAAATATACCTGTGCTACTTAAGACTGGTTTTGTGGTCCAGGGTCACAAATGTTCTTTAAAATGGTGCACTGAAAGGTTCTTTGGTGAACCAAAAATGGTTCTTCTATGGCATCACTGCAAAAACACCCTTTTGGAGCGTTTATTTTTAAGAGGGTAGTATGTTGTTTGTTTGTATCTGGATTATAAATACACCAATTGTGAAGAAAATGTCATACTTGTAAAATATTCTACACTGTAAAATAGTTCCCAATGTACCATGATAATAAGGAATTTTTTCTATTGATTTTTCACAGGCCTCTTAGCCTTATTTTTGAATCGTATTGCATTGTGCTGTGATTTAGGGTTGAAGGAAATGTCTGTAAACTTAATGGAAAACTATCTAAAGAACCTGCTTCATGTTCCATTCTCTGTTCTCATGGTCATTTGGCCTGTTGAAAACAATAGGGAGAACAATAGTGCATAGAATTCACTTTCTTTTAATAGCCATGATGCCGTTTTGAGGTCAATTATAGTGAAACTTCAGTGTCCCTGAGAGGTTTGACTGGAGTATGGGAACAATAGGAGTGTCCAGATTAGAGGGTTGCCTCTGGATCTCACAAGGTTGTGTATATGAAAAACAGGAAGGAAATGGGATTGCCAGATAACTTGAATCCCACGGAGGTATAGAATTCAATCAAGCTTTCATTTCCATTTCAACATCGCAGTTTAAAACAATGTGGTGCTTCACAGATCCATCACACCTCAGAGAAAGGATCAAGACTGAATGGAATATACAAACAAATTCTATTAATCCTAGCGTAATGCATCAGCCAATCACATTTCACATTTGATATTAATAATGAAACGGGTTTGATACATGCTGAGCTGCTAAAAATAGTACAAGAGGCATAACAACATGCAATAGTGTGCATAAAAAATCTCTTATAAGTGAGTGTGTTTACATGCACAGTACAACAAAATATAGGTATACTATCAAAAATCAACTCAATACCATGCAAGAAAACTTTAACATAACATTGTAATATTGCCCGGTTTCTGTCAGGTTCTGATGTCAGAATGTAAACAGACATGCGCATTGAACTGGCAGCCAAAACACCTGTGAGGTAATGGGCAAAAATCTGTGTGCTAAATCGTGTATCAATATTTAGATTGTTACAAACATGTAAATTCCCTCACACTGTATCATTCTATGTATCATCAACTCACTTTATGAGTGTCTCTTATCAGAATCTTATCAGCAGATGATGTTACACAGTCAATAGGGACTGATAAGAGCCCATCTAACAGACTGAACTCTGTCTACAGTGGCGATGACAGAAATTTGCAGGAAAAAAACATAAATAAAAGATGAGGAGTGGGATGTATCTGTGTGTGTTAACGTCCTAATGTCCTCTAATCCAATAATCATGAGAGGTAATGAAATGTCCATTCTCCCATGAGGCCGCTTAGTTCCCCACTCCATCTATTGTGCAGTGGTAGGGTCAGAACACCGGTCAATGCACGTCTGTGAATACTACAGCTGATTATGAGATTGATGGTTTTCTGTTGTGGAGTTAAGAAATATGTGTTGCAGTTATTGTAGCATTAGTAAGTATTATGTGTTAGGTCAACAGGCACTGAATTAGGGAATTTGGCATTATTTTTTTGTTTTGTTTTGTTTTGTTTTGAATAAATTGTAAAGTATTCCTGTAGCTCAAACAGAATTGCATGGTGCTAACAATGCCAAGGTAATGGGTTCGACTTATAAAAAACAACTTGTTAAAAAAAAAAAAAAAAAACGTATAAAAAAAGTGAACCTTAAATGCAAAGTTGCTTTGCACAAAAAGGTTGGCCAAATGCATAAATGTAGATGAAAAAATGTTGGTCACCTAAAATGTTTTTCTTAACAACAACAATAATAATAACATTAAAATATTTATGAATTTATAAACTAATTAACGTTCATCAGTCAAAGTTTTATTAAGTCTTGCTTTTTGGCATTCCCAAATTCCAACAGATCAATTTGGAAATCTCACTCACATATGTACATATGAAAATATTAAAGAAAAAACATGTCAAATGAGACATGCATCTTATACTAGACTTGCATTTTTATCAAGAAGTTCATCAGGTGCACTTTACGGACAATAAGCATTTCCTATATAAACAAAACAAACAAAACATCTAGCTATATGCAAAACAACTTAAAAATATAGAAAACATTTTTTTTATTAATGTTTACAGATTTTATGCATTTGTGAATTTTTTATCAAATTATTAGACGCATCCAATCATGGCATCTATTGGTTCAACAAATCAAATAAACAATAAATACAATAATAAAACACCAAAGCACCCCAGCAGGTTGAGCATAAATCAGTGATTCTCTCATAGTTCATGTGTTAAATATCACACAAGCCCACTGACAGTCTAAGCACAGCAGACCTGACATGGCTGCTATCATCACACTGCTTTAGAAGGGAGGAGGGGAAAATCGCTGAAATATAAAGAGCCATCATAGATGGAGCGAGAGGAGGAGGAAGAGAGTTCCGAAGGCTGATATTTTGATTATTTTTATTCTCTTTCTTTCGGCTCCTCGCCATGCAGTCGTTTGCAAATATTTCTCTATAGACCACCAAAGAAAAAAGACATACAGTGATTTCCACCCTGAGCTCGAAAACTCAGCCCCTGCAAATGGTGGTATTATAAATAGCAAGCTCCCGCTCACACAAAGCAAACAAATGCTCCTGCACAAAACTGAAAGACCAAGCCAAAAAATGAAAGAGGGGAAACAATGGCTGAATTAGGATGATTATTTAAATGTCTACTGCATGCAGAAGACGGTTCTCCCGTCTGTCTCAGCCTCCCTCAGACAGACTGACAGAAATGCGCGGCAAACAAAGACAGACCCATCAGATTGTTCACACACACACACGCGATCCATCCCCTGCACACACCCCTCTACAATCATTGCCCTATCGAAAATCTAACAATTTTTTTTTTTTATGTAAGCATCATATCTGCTAAACCATGTTATTTTCATATATTTCAAAAACGAAAAAATCATGCATTGCATCACAGTGCTTGCATGAAATACATCAACGGTGAATTCATTAAAAATTTGAATTGAAAATATGTCAGAATACACTTCTTCCCGCATGGAAAAAAATAATAACCTATATTCTGATAGTGTTCATAACCTCGTTTTATAATCCACAAGATCAGAGACAATGAAAAGCAGTCGGGGATTAGGCAAAAAGGTAAACAACACACTCGGAAAGATGGATGAGAAAACAATGGAGAAAAAAGCATTCCATTACCCTTCTGGGTCTGTTCCTCATCCATGTCCTCCTCCATGTTGCCTTGTCCTCTGATTTCAGGGGTCTCTACAGCGGTGACCAGTGTTGCGCCTGTGGGTTTAAAGTCCGCTCTTTAAACGCCTTCCCTTGCCTGCTTACCACAATAGAGGCTGAGGCTGGCTCTCAATGCACAAGTCTCTCTCTCTCTCTCTCTCTCTCTCCCCCTCTCTCTCTGACTCTCACTCCCTCCTCCCTCTCTTCACTCTCTCGCTCCTGCTACTACCCTGTTCCTCATAGAGGAGAGCTGCTGTCAACACCGAATTTTTTCAGTTGACTTCTCTTGTGTGAGGAGGTTGAGTGTGGCATCTCAGTGCAGGCTTGTGCAAACCAGTGAGTGTTAAGACATTCAGACCTCTATATATTTCTATATATTTGTTTATACAAGGTAACACAAGCTCAAGTGCGGGATACAGAAACAACAAATCCACAACCACCCAAAACATGGAGCACACTTGGTGAACAGAGAGAGGTGGGGTTTTAGGGGAGTCAAGCACCAAGCCAGTAAAAGCCTTCTCTTTACACCCCTCCTCTAAAAGAATGGTTAATGCTGGTTATAGCTCTGCTGCATTAAACTCAAGATTAAAAAAACCAAGAAATAATCAATTTGTGTTTTATCTGATAATTACCCTATATAAATAGTATAGTAAATATATAGTTGGTGCACTACCACAACATTCTCAACTTTATTTAGGAAGATAGGTCATATTTATACAAACATTATCAGCCTGGACATCCAATCAAAGTACTGTATTCATGAGTTATATGTTACCTGATTATAAGGTTTAAGTAAGATGTGCATATGTCTAGCTGTCTAGTTTTAGTTCCTTACTCGAACTAGCATCAGCAGTGTGTATGTGTAAAAGAGGAAGTATGAAGCATACCTGAGAGATAAAAGAACAGGGAGTGAAAGTTGAAATACTATTAACAAAGGCCAGAGCTTCACTCTGAAGATATGGGGACAGAACCCTTGCAATATTAGCAAGCTTATTAACGATATGAGCAAAGTCATTTATCTAAACATGCATACATAAATGTAGCTTTTTTTTTTTTAATGTGTCTCATGGGTACATACGCAGCTTCCCTTGGTACAACATTGCTAAAGCTCACTTTAATAGCATTTCTCATAATTTTGGCCAAATGTTATAGGAAGACAAGTAGTTTTGCGATTAGTGGAGCTATCAATTGTCACAGCAAATTCGACACTCATTCTAGAGTCATCAGTGACAGAGTACTTCGTATGAATTCTATGCACTTTTTGACATTTGGTCTGGGTGTTTCATTGCATAATGTGACAGGTATCTCTACTACAGAATTGTTGCCAAAGTTTTCAGAAACACATACTATACTTGTAATAATAAATCTAAGGGGTTGAAATATAATGATGACATCTTGAGTAGGTTTTTTCTGCTTTGCTGCTTCTGTGCACAACATGGATGAAATATGAATGCATGTGATGAATATAACATCATATGGTGCACTCACATGATTCTTTATGTGCATGTGTGTGTGTGTCATTCCAGGGAGTGACAAAAGCATACAAGGCATAAAAGGCAGTTTGTTTTAAGTGAGCTTTACTCACTTCATCAGATTGTTTGCTACAACCTGCAATTTAGTACAGAAGTGCTATTAAAATTTCGATTGATAATTATTATTGGGTTCAGTTTTGCAAAATTAACAGAAAAGCCTTCAACCTTTTTTCCAACCTTGTTTTTTTTTCAATATTGGCCTCTGAATTATGAATTTAGTTAGAAAGGGTCACACTTTATATTAAGTGACTTTAACTACATTATTAATCGTAACGTACATTTATTAATCATTTTGTACAATGCACTTATTGTGTGCATACATGTTTTGTTCCTGTGGCTCAGCGGTAGAGCATTGCGTTAGCAGCGCAAAAGGTCGTGGGTTCGATTTCCAGGAAACACACATACTGGTAAAAAATGTATAACCTGAATGCACTGTAAGTCGCTTTGGATAAAAGCGTCTGCTAAATGCATGAATTATTAAATTATGTTTTTATATTGTGCTTTTATTTTAAGAATACCTGCATGTAATTACACCTGTAATTAATTTCTGTAATTACATTTATAGTTAGACTGTTGACCCATCCCTTACACCTTAACCCACCATTAAACCTACCCATACCACCAAACCTGTCCCTAACCTTACCTGTATCCCACCTCAATAGCAGCAAAAGTATTTTGCAGTACAACATGAACACAATAAGTACATTGTACTTATTTTTTGACGCAAGTAGTTAAGGCCACTTAATATGTGGATAAGTGGGACCGAAATTAGAAATTACTTTTTAATGCTTCATCTATTTTTAGAGAAACATTTTCATTTTTATTGTATGATTTTAGCTAACTAGTCTACACAGTCTACATAGTCTACGTCTTATTTGAATCTTCAACAAAAAACAGCTTTCATTTAGGGCTGATGCACACTATATGATTTTTCTGTCCTTTACAATTGCTGCTTGCCGGATTGTACAGTATAACCGGTGAGAAATCTACGACAGAATGTAATACCAAAGCCTTTCGATAAACCAAGATGGTGCACTCATGTTGCTATAAATGAGGAAAAGTGCAACGCACAATATGGCGGAATAAGTCCCAACTTTTAAATGAAAGAACCAATCGCCAATTGGTAGTGTCACTGCAGCTGCTGTTAGAAGCTCAGGTTATAGAAACAGCCAGTGTCCTGGGACATGCACGACTGGCCGGTTCAGCCTGAAATTATGCTATCTGAGCATAAAAATACATTTGTGTGACAGTTCAGGTCAGATTTTGTTGCTGATTTTAAAGTCCGCATGAATTCAGATTTTAAAGTATTGACTTTTTAGTGCACATTGCTAGTCTTGAGGCAGACAAAAATTTAATCCACAGAAAAAAAAAATGCTTGTCTTGGTAATCTTTAATCAAAATTTTAACATTTGCTTTCACTCTGGAATGGCATTACTTCTGTGATGACATCAGTTTGGTGGCCCGCCAATCCCCTTCAAACCAGTAGTTTGCTGTGAGCGAGAAATGGAGAGGAGGAACGCTAAAATAAAATCTGCCCTCTGTTTAATATGCCATTTCAGTTAGAAATATATCACAACACTCAAGTAAGTAGGTAGCGACTTCACACACTCATTAAATATGTTATTTAAATGTGAGTATGGCAACCCATTTTTGACATGTCAGTACATCCTAATTCAAGCAGACTTGGTCTTGGATGCCCAAAATAGCTGCCTGTAGGCATTGCAAATATGGCCGCTCGAGTGAACTACAAGGTATCCAAGACTTTGTCAGACTTACAGTGTTTGATATTTTACATCGGGAGTTGTACTACAACCATTGCTACAAGGTTAACTATTCAATTAGCTGACTGTATGTGATAATGTCTGCCAATTTTGTCCATGATTATTAAAAAAATATATTTAACTCAAGATGCTATAAATATGTTCGTCTACAATGAGTATCCATATCAATTGCCCGCTTATAAAGCTCATCTCCACCATCAATGTATGCATTATTAATCACTAGACAATGTATTTAAACAGCTTTTTTAAAGGGGTCATGAATTGAGAAACTAAATTCTGTTTTACATATTGTAAGTTTCAGAGCTCAAAACTCTAGTCCAAAAACAGCTTTTATTGAAAACAAGCTGCCAGAACGACTCTTTTTCTACTTCTGGGTTTTTATTACATGATAAGACATTTTATTCTTTGGTAAACCGGTCACAATTCGATGCAGTCTTTGCAAACAGACTTTTACGAAAAGATACAGATGGACTGACAGTAATGCCACAACTTGTAAGAAATCATGTTAATTCTAATGCTAATATGTAATGACTCATGTACAGTCAGAGTTCTTTATCGCAAAATGATTTATTGCTGTTTATGTGTCAGTGAATCAAGCCAGTGACTGAACAGTCAACTTCTCACTCTTCCTCTTAGCAGCAAAAATGTTGTAAAAGTTTTTTTTTAATGTTCAACTTGTACAGTACTACTTTCATGTAAATGTGTTAAACAATTAATAGCAATTAAATGCCCATTTAATCAGTTTTCAAATCTAATATATAAATTCTAATAGAGCAATGCCAGGGAATCATTATGGATATTTACCAGCAATCTAGAAATGACTATATTTGTGTTGCAATGTAGTTTAACAGATACTTGAGTTCTTACTGGCCCCATTACTTCAAAAATTGCTGACACTTTGAAAGATACATCAACATGTCCTGGCCAAAGTGCTGACAGATTTTCTTTCTACCAGCAGTTTTAAGTTCTAAAATGATTGTGAAGGCCCACCTGCTTTCTTATTTAGAATCCAAGAATAGCATCTAGTTGCTACTGAAAGTGTATTAGGGGCCACTCACACAGGACACATTCTGTATGAACGGCCCCTAACTCTACCCCCCAAATGACTGCATGTCCTCTGACAATAACAGTTTGTCTGATGTGTTGATATACTGCCATGCCATGTTTAAAATTCCTATGCTGAGTAGGGCTCTATTTCAGGAATAGCATCGCTGCAGACATATAACACCAAATGCAGACTAACATTTGACACTAAATATAATAGGATACAAGGCATTCTGTATTCTGTTATCACACAGGGTGTTTAAGACAGTGTTTCCCATTCCCAACCCTGCTTCTGGAGGCACAACAACAGTACACGTTTTCAAACTCAAACCCACCTGATTCAACTCGAGAGCTCGATGGTGGACTCTAAGACCTCAAACGGATGAATTAGATAAGGAGACATCCAAAAATCTGTACTGTTGGTGTGCCTCCAAGAACAGGGTTGGGAAACAACAGTTTAACAACAGACAGAATCACTTTATTTTGCAGTCTCCTTGTTACACGTTAGAAGTAAAATTACATGAAACTAACCTTAAACCTAGCCTTATAGTAAGTACATATTGTTAATTAATATTACTCAGTACTTAAATGTATAATTACACAAGAAACCTTAAAATAAAGTAATTGACACTGGCTGAAAAAATACAAAAATCACTGGACAATGAAGTCACTGAACACAACTTGTAAATACAAATTTAGAGTACACATATCTGTAAAATTGTCTAATAATATCTTAATGATTTTTACTTACATGAAAACACAATAACAATATACACATTTGATAACATTAAATGA